CAACTTTGCCATTTAGAATTTTTTTCAAGATTCATCACAGTTTAGGAGCAGTTTCGAAAATGGTGCGCGCACGCCGAGTGGCAGCAAGGTTTTTTTTTGCGATTTTTTCTAAACCGCTCGTCGGAATGAAGCAACTGATACGTCATTGGAAATCGTCAAGACACAATTTTTTCATATATATTGCTTTCTCTAATTTGTTACGGTTTAAGAACTGTTTCAAATTTACTAAATCACGAATTGTGTTTTTCAATTTTTTTGCAATTTTTTTGTACTATTTTCGCACCCGTTTTTTAACCGTTCGTTGAAACAAGGTGTGTGATATGTCGTTGAAAAGCTACGGACGTGGCACAACTTTCATATGTACAAATGTTTTTGAGTTTCCTTATGGTTTTAAATTAATTTTGAAAATCATACGGTGGGCGATGACTGGCAGCGACCGTTTTCTCGTGCATTTTTTACAAATTGCTGGTCGGAATGATTCAAGTGACTGTCGTTGGAAAGATATCGACGAGACACAACATTTTCACGTAGAACACTCTCTCTAATTCCTTACGCTTTAAGAATAGTTTTAAAATTAACTAAATGCGGACGCTTTTCACTGACAACCAAATCATCATGTGTACTGCATCAGACAACCAAATCATCATGTGTACTGCATCAGACAGATGAACACACTCCTTCATATGTAAAACCACACTACATCAGACGGGCAAGCAAACTTCATGTTTTTTGTCGGACGTATATTTTCTCAGAGGAGAAAGTGGACCACACTTCACATCGGGCATAAGTGAACCGCAACACTATCGAGAGGTGAACCACTTTACTTTTTTGGTCATTTCCTTAATGTTATTCCTGCACTTCACGTTGGGAGTAAGCAAACTGCAACACTATCGAAAGTGAACTAATCGACACTACTAAAAGTGAACCTCATGATTTTTTTTTGTTTTTTCCGTACTTAAATGTTTTATGCGCGTAGGCCGGGCAAGTGGACCGCAGCGACTGAGTGAGTGAACCACATCTAATAAGAAGCGAGCTTCTTTTGAGATGTTTGTTTTTTTACCAAGTGAACCACGAAGAGCTTCTTTTGAGATGTTTGTTATTTTTTTTTTTACCAAGAACCATGAAGAGCTTCTTTGAGATGCTTCTTTGAGAATAGACAAAATGAACTACATAAAAATATATTTTATTTTCCTGCATGCATCGACAGGACTGAAGAGCTTCTTTGAGATGCTTCTTTGAGAATAGACAAAATGAACTACATAAAAATATATTTTATTTTCCTGCATGCATCGACAGGACTGAAATGCCTGAGGGTGGTTTTTGGGGTAACTCAAGCGAGCCGCACACGTGAAAAGAACGAACTACGCCTTTTGAGGTTCACACACACATACACAAACTCACTTGGGAGCGCACTGTAGCACAACCACAAGACCGCCTATGGCAAGCGGTATTTTCCATCTTGTGGGCTTCATGTCGCTGGCTAGTGGATTCACTCCCGCACTGTAACATCTTGCACAACCAGCTGTACTGCACCGATGACCCAAGTGAACCGCCCAGCACAAGCAAGCAAAAATATGAATACCATTTCACCTAAAAAATATGAATAACATAGAAAAAAACGAACATCAAGGGCATCCACAGATGAACCGCATCACCGATCGAGCAGAACTGCACCGAATCACCGATCAACAAAGATAAGTAATACCAAAACCGCAACAGAGCTAATTGAGAAAAAGATGGTCGGCGAGCGGGGTGCTGATGGTTGTGCCAGGGCTCGTGGCGGCTGGAGCTGGTTCTTGCGAGCTGCTGCCCACGAGGCACGGACTGCACAAGCGCACGCGCCGCACAGACACTAGTCGGACACGCGTTGGGGAGGAGGCCGCGAGGCCGCGTAGGAGGACGAGATGTGGAGCACCCCCTCCTCCCTACATGTGGCGCCAGGGCGATGCAGTGGGTTGTCGCAGCCTGTCTCTGGCGGCGGGTATCGCGGCCTGGATCTGGCGCATGGGCGTTGCGGGGGGCTCACCGCAGCCTGGATTCGGCACCGGCGCGGCCTGGATAGGCGGCCGGGAGTCGCCAGAGGGCCAGCGTGGCCTGGATCTGGTGATTGGGGGTCGCCGGGGGTCGACACGACCTGGATCTGGCGGCGGGACGTCGCGGGACGGGAGTAGGAGGCGAGGCGGCGCCGGGTGGGAGGAGGAGTAGGAGGCGAGGCAGCACCGGACGGGAGGAGGAGGAGGCGGGGAGGCACCGGCCGGGAGGATGAGGAGGCGGGGCGGCGTGGGAAAGGAGGTTGTGCGGTGCCGGGGTGGGAGGTGGAGGTTGTGTCGTGGCGGGGTAGGAGGTGGTGGTCGTGGGGAGTGGACGGAGGGGCACAGGAAGAGAGTGGAGTTGGTGCCCGAACAGGATAAGGTGGGTGTGTTTTTCTCTGGCAGGCGCAGTTCGGTGGTTAGTTTGTAGCTACAGCGGTATGTGGGGGCGTTAGCAGAATAAGTTTAGGTGTTACCAGAATAAGGGTCTTAAGGCCATGTACAATGGAAGGCGCTTAGAGAGATGCTTAGAAAAACAAACCGGGTTTTTTGAAGTACCAGTGCCTAATTCTATAGGAAAGACACTTAGTTAAGCGTCTATCATGTACAAATAAGCACCGGTGCTTAAGAAAAGGCTGGTTTATTTCTCTAAACACCCCCTTAAGCACCTCCCATGTACAAGGCCTAAAGATGTTATTAGAATAGACCCACCCTACACGCACACACACACATATATATATATATACACACACCTATATATATATACCTACTAATAAAAGGGCTATCGCTTCTTACTCCCTAATTTTCGTCCATCCGTGCGTTCCTACACCGTCCATACACGGACGCCCGCGTGGGCCTCGGCACAAGCCGTCCATCCTCCATGTCGTGAAAATTGAATAGATAAGTCCCACGTCGTTTTCTTGTACACAATCCCACCAGTTAACATATGTTGCTTGAGTTGGAAACAACAAGCGGCCTCGAAAGGAGTTGGTCAAAAAAAATTGTTCTTGAGACCCAGGCTCGATGAAAGGCGGTCGGCACCGTCCCAGGACATGGCCAGCAGCTTCCAGCAGATAAGTGAGAGGGTGAGGAGAGAGAGGAGGATGGTGTAGGGGCTCCCTGAGGGGAGGGAAGAAAAGGAAGAGGAGGCGCGGAGAACGAGCTCGCGGCTCGGGTCGCCAGATGCGAGGGGAATTTAGAAATAAACTCCCCTTTGCTAGCCCGGCTGCGCTGCTCAACTTTGTCTTTCCTTTTTTTCATTTAGAAATAAACAAGAGAACTAAAAACCATAGGTAGTTTGGAAAAGAGTTTTGAAGTAAGGAAAATCTCTCTGGATTACTTAAAATGTGCTTAATCCAACAATGTAGAGTTTGTTTATGTTGGAAGAATTTCAATTCAAAATCATTGGAACTTAAGTCAAATGGATTTGAACTAGGAATTGGATTTATGAATTTCCAAAAATAAACGTTGGCTTCAAGAGTACAGGAATAAGAATACTCCAGGACCAATCTGTCAAGAAGCGTGGTGGGCGGCGAGTGGGAGCCAAGACCACCACATCATGCACACATACTACCATATGCGTCAGCAATTGCCAACGGCTACCGGCGTACGCAGGAACATGAACTTATGCTAATGGGGATGGGAGCCGAGCCAATAACACGAAAAAAGTGTATAAAACTCACGGGCACTCGCAAAATGGCCTCATGCGAATGAGAAAATTAACTAAACTCACAGACACTCGCAATAATTGCCTCACGCGGATGACAAAATTGACTACACACATTTGAATTTTTTTTTCTCTTACCGAAAGTAGAATTAGATGCAAACAATCAAAACATATTTCCGAAAAATAAAATTAGGTGCGAACAATCAAAACATCTTTCCGAGAAATAAAATTAGGTGCGAACAATCAAAACATCTTTCCGAGAAATAAAATTAGGTACAAACAATCAAAACATGTGTGCTCTACATGAAAAAATAATACACATTTGATTTTTTTTTGTTCTCTGTGTGTACGTCGGAGATTCATTCTCTTACTCATGCTGATGGTATCACCTTAAATGAATCACAAAATTAAAACGCGGGATCCGGTAATAAAAACTATATATAAAACAAAAACTAAAACATAATTAAACTCTAAAGTTTTACTGAGAAGAATGAGTCAATACATTCCTTTTACCCTAAATGAAGAAAGAAATAAAAAATAAAATGATGTCAACAAATTAAAAGAGAAAATTGCACCTTTTTACAGTATGCAAGAAGAAACATATAACAATGCAGTTTCTAAGACTCCAAAATAATTTACACACATATTACATAGTATTTGCGTGTGTACATCGGAGATTCATCGTCTTACTCATGTCGATGGTATCGCCTTGGAACGTGCATATACAAACACCTCACAATTGAATTGCGTCTCATATTGATATCGCCTGTGCAACGCGCGCACGTACAAAAGAATAGTGGCACGAAGAGAGAAAAAAGACTGGCACATACAACTATACGCAAGAATCACTTGGACGATTTTTTGCGGACGCAGAAAAAAATAGCGACATACACAAAGAGGGAAAACGGCTGGTATATACTAAAGAAAAGAAAAATACTCGGAGCACTTGGACCATGAAAACAAAGTCAAAATGAACACGAAATTGTAAAATGGCCATTACACTTGCTATAAAAGTGAAGAGGAATTTATCAAGAAAACAAGAGAAATAGTGACCCAAGCTACAACAGGCATCAACTAAAATACAAATGGACTACTACCTGGCTAATGCATAACTCACTAACCTAAAACTAATGGGCTGAGGCCCATTCCGTTGAACAAAATCCACTGAAAATGAAAGTTGCGTCAGTCAACTACAGCCCAAACACACCCCACGTACGAATCACGAACTATGGTAATGGACGGTTGCAGATTCAACTGAGCACATGAAAAATTTCAGGTGCCTGTTATAGACCAACACCACATAATCAATGTCCTCCGCCCATGCTTACGGACCGGAAGCTGCTCTTTGACATCTTAGGCAACATGATTGTTCCGGCGACGGCGGAGGCGAATGCGAACACAGAGGCCAGGGCGAACGCCGGGATGTTTCCCTTGCCGAACAGCTCGTCCCACGGCCCAGCGCCGATGGCGACGATCATCTGGGGCGTCACGATGGAGATGTTCAGGATCCCCGTGCAAAGTCCTGCCGCACAAATATAATTATTGGAGTTGGACACTCCGTTCAAAGTTCACGATCAGTTGAGAGCAGCTAGCTCACCTTGCCCACCACCTTTGCTCGCGGCAAGCTGTGCCGTCACAGCGAATGGAACACTACATAGAACCTGCAGGCATTGGGCGCCAAACTAGCCATCAGAGACAATTAATTGATCGGAGTTGCTTTAAGTTTTAACGATGCCATTATCAATGTATGTTGCTTACTGCAAAGGGAAGGCCGAGGAAGACGAAAAGGACGAGGGCTGATGTCTTCAGGCCCTTTTCCGTTGCCGCGGCGTCTTGCACGTTGCCGCCGAAGTCGCCGAGCGACCATGCGCCGAGGATGGCCACCAACGCCATTGCGATGCATACGAGGACCTGACTAGCGACCCACACGGTCCTTGGTCCGAGCTTCCGACACATGGGCTCGATCATGAAGGAGCTTATCCCAAGAAGCACAGAGTTGAGCAGCAGGCCGAAGGCACCCTGCCGGACGCCCTCCTGGAAGGCGGCGATCTCTGCGGGGCTCCCGTCCGGCCTGCCATGGTATATCTCGCGACCCATCCAGTCGGTGTCGAAGAGGATGAAGGGGAACCATGACAGCCACGTGAGGCCGGTCACGATGAGCACCTGTGGCATGCCGGCCGGCAGGTTCTTTAGGCCCTTGAATACAGCCAGCGGGCCCGTCGCCTCCCCCTCGCCCTGCTTCGCCACCTCAGGGTCCAACGGCGTCTCTTTTGCAAAGATCATTGTTACCGCCGTCGAAAAACCTAGGAATATCTGTAAATCAAGACATGCGACATGCAAATGAGATCTGAATTATTAGGAACATCTAATGAAATAGACATGCAGTTCCTTGAGGTTGTGCGCTTGATAAGCCGCTCCATGCTCACCACTGCGACCAAGAAGGCAGCCTTGAGGTTCGCGCAAGCTTCGCAGCAAGCTCTTGTTTGGAGGGCGGGAAACCACCTGTGCAGGTGTGCATCAAAACAACCGTCAATTCGCCGCACCGCTGCTGGATCAAGGTATATGCACACGATGAGGCACTTACTCGTGCCATTTGTCGGTGGAGCCAGAGGAGTATCCCAGGACGTTTCCGATAGCCATCCAAGAGACGAAGATCGCGTTGGCTGCACTCGGGCCATGTTTACCTGCATACTCAAGTACTTAGTTTTAGAATTAAGGAACATGAATGATGTATTCCTTTCGGAGCACCTATAAGTCAGGAACAAAAATGCTACATCCACGTAAACATACGTAATCTTTTACCTAAACTTCCTTCTCAAACTCTCCACGCCCTCCTGATTTCAATTGGTGGGGCCCTCCTCTAATTATGTCCAACAAAACGATGCCAAGTAGGCTATTACATTAATAACGTATTATTGATTACGTAGATGTAACATTGCTCAGTCAGGAAAGCAGTCGATTTTTTCCAGAACCATTGGATCCAAATCCAACGGCTCCAGTTTCTTCTTCTTCCTCCCATCCCTATTATTTCTTCTTCCTCCTGGCTTCTGTCAAGCCGTCAACCTGAGTCGGCCTAACAGCATGCCGCCGCCATCTGTGTGCTGCTTCTCCGCCCAGCTTGGCCAAACCTAGCCCCACCCCCCGCCCTTCGACCAGACTCCGCTGCCCTGACCATCCTTCCATAGCCCATCAGCGTCTCATAGCGACAAACCCCCACATCCTGGAACCAAACCGTCAACATCCCGCAACTCTTTTGCAAGCGACGCCAAATAGCCGCATCTTTCCCTCCACCGGCGAGGTACTAGCAAGCCCTCACCGGGACGCCGCACCCTACTACATCTCCCGGATTGACTGATGCATAAAATTTTCCTTTACTTTTTCGCAAATACGTGGGTTGCTTATCTTTCTATTGATAGAGGGTTTGAAAGTACAAAGTTGCAGTTGCTAGGCTATGTACACAGGAAGACACGGTCAGGGTTGTGGGGATCAGAAGGAGGAGTTGCTCAGGCCCTAGCTATAGAGGTTCAGGATACATGTAAGATCATGTCGGCGCCCGCCTTAGCCTAAGAGCGTGCGTCAGCTTTGATCTACTCGGTGATGAGAGCGTGAGATGGGTGGGCGCCCATGAAGGCGCAAGTGCTGCGGTGTTTCCAAATTATCCATGCTGAAAGTGCAATGAGGGAGCTCGTGCGCTTCCGTAGGCTTGCCGTCGACGTGTGGGTGGCAGCTGTTCACCAGTCCAATAAACCAGTGGTGCCATCAAGTGGTACTATGGTGAGGCGGCACTAGGAGAAGATCTCATGCTAGACAATATGGGAGGTAATGCATACTGAGGGGTGGTTCATGCTCTCATCTCCTTGGCCGCGAAGGGTGCAAGCTGAGATGTGGGGAAGGTCGCGTCGTGTAAGTCTCTCTACCATGCAACATCTATCCAAGCTCACAAGCTAGATGAAGAACTTGATGCTCAGTGGAGACCATGATTTGCAGGTTAGTCACCAGTGGGGTGTCATAGTGGAATCTTGAAATAAGGTGAGGTAGCTTGACTTGGCAGTGTATGTAGCATTCTCTTTCCACTTCTAACGGATGCAATCAGGCATCTGGGAGAGGGTGTAGGCAAGTCGCAAGATGTCAATGTACTGGATCATTGCGGCAGGGCCCATGCCGCCATGATGTCTTGTATCCAGGAGAGTCAAGGGGGGGCTTCACATACACGACAACGCTTGTGTAGTTTCTTTTCTTCTTTTTACGAAAATGATCCAGATCTATAATGAAAGTTCAGCAGAAGTACAAAGCATCTCAAACATAATAAAATTTACATTGAGATTCCAAGATCCCCAAATTCGCTAGATCGGGCATAAGCTTGGCGATGGAGTGGCCATCTAACCAACGAGCACTACAAAAGCGACAGGTGTTGTTGTCCCCAAGGTTCCAGGTAGTGGATGCGCGAAAAATTTGTCGCACCTCAGGCTCGCAGGGGGGTGTAGGTGGGCCAAGGTCGTCAGGGATATGTAGCATGAAGCCAAAGCCATCAAACTCATAGGGAGATGCCCGGTGGAGGCCACAGATGTCTGATCCACCGAGCTTGATGGGGCAACACACTCATGGCCACCTCACAAGGCAGCTGCCAGAACGGGCCTCCTTTTGCCCATGCCAAAGGAAATATCAGATATCCTTAGTGACCAGCTTGAGGATCAGTGGACTAAGCGCCTTGTATAGGATGAGGTCAAGTCGCATGACACTAAGGACCTGGCGAACAAGAGCAATACGCTCGCTACGAGAGAGGAGGGAAGCTCGCCAGGTACTGAGCTTTTTGTAGACCCCATTCACCAGCGGCATGAGGGCAGTGCGGTGCACATTGAGGACAGAAAGTGGGAGTACTAGATAGGTAATATGGAATAGGGCTACCGGGCAGGAAAGGACAGTGCCCATTGTTGTCACGGTCTTGTTGGTGCACTAGATTAGGCTAGTGGAGCACTTTGGAAAACTTAGTGCACAAGCCCGTGGCATGCCCGAAGACCTACAGTAGATCTTGGATGGTCTTGAGCTCGGATTTGTCGGGATGGCTGAAGACAACCTCATTGTCCATGAAAAGGGAGATGCTCGAGGCGGCCTACCAACTGGTAAGGCGCTGGAGAATTATTTTGCTCAGCGCATGTTGGAGAAGGGGGTCGAGAGTATCTATAACCAGGGCGAATAGCCCGATGGACAAGGGAACGTCCTCGTGCAGTCCGCATCCATGGGGCTCCAGAGATCCTGGATTGTCGTTGATCAAGATCCTCGTGGAAAGCCAAGGAGATGAGGATGACATCCATGCACGCCATCGCAAAATAAAACGCATGTGCTAGAGGGTTTGTAATAGGAATGACAATGAGGCAGGATAAAACACATACGCGATGTCGAGCTTGAGCAGGGCATGTGGGGATTTTTGCTGGTGGAGCTGGTGGGCTGTCCGTTGAACCAACAGAAAATTCTCGTGCTCAGAACGCCCAACCACGAAGGCGCTCTAGTTGGTGGAAATGATCTCTCCGAGTCTTGGCACAAGGCGTAGGGAGAGGACCTTGGCAAATAGCTTGGCGAAGAGGTCGAACAAGCTGATGGGGTGATACTCGGAGCGAGTGGATGTGTTCAGTTTCTTGGGCAAGTGCATGAGCAAAACCTCATTGAGATTTTGGAAACCCTTCCCATTGAGGTTGTATGGGCAACTTTCCAATGGCCCCACAAAAACAAGTCTTGATGATATCCCAGCAAGATCACATGAATTCAACAGTGAAACCATCCAGGCGTGGTGATTTTACGCTGGGGAGCTTCTTGATGGTGTCCCAATTATCAGACTCGGAGAAGGGCTGGCCTAGGTCGTGTATTCAAAGTTTTAGTCGTCGATGAGGCAGAGGTTGATTATGAAATATCGAGTTTCCGATGAGGCAAATATGGAGGACAAGTGTTGAAATGCGGCTTTTGGCAGGGTCACGTTCGTCGGTGACAATGTGGTTGTCCATGTGGAGCTCATGGATGGGGTTTTCTTGTTGTCGATGTGCTGCATGGATTTTGAAGAATGTAGTATTAGATTCACCTTCTTGGAGCCAAGTGCAGCGGGTGTGTTGTCGTGCAATGGACCGCTCCAGGGTGCATTGTGGTGCAATGGAGCTTCCACGTTGCCATGACTCAATGGGCATGAGTGGGCGCGTGTCCTCGGAGGCATCAAGGTGTGGAATAATCTCGCGAGAAATTTGGAGATGCAACGTGATATTGCCTAAGTTGCAAGTGCTCCAACCTTGAAGGTGCCACACAGTCATGGTCAACCTGGTAGATATGGATCGATAGGGACCGAATTCCAGGCCTCGGAGAGAACTTGGGAGAATGCGTCAAAGTTGGCCAGATTCTTTCAAAGTGAAAACGTCATGAGTTTTTGGAGCACCGGGAGTAGTCGATGATGATAGGAAAGTGATTGGATCCTACAGAGGCGAGACCACTAAGCACGTAGTTGAGGTAAATCGTTTCCCAACTGATAGTACAGAGCACCAGGTCATTGCACATGAGAGTTGGGTAATATTCTTGTTGGACCAATGTAGCGGGTGCCATGAAGATACAAATCTCGGAGCTCTATGTCAGCGACAAATCACTGAAAATGGTGCATCATACGCCATTTAAGGTGGTTGTTATTTTTGTCCTGGACACTAAGAATCATGTTGAGGTCACCTCCTGTCATCTAAGGGACTAACATGGTCATGTGTAGATACTGAAGCTCGAAAAGAAACTTGAGCTCGCAAGAGTCATCCTGGGGCCCGTAGACACTAGTCAGCCAACAATGCCCATCTCTAGATCATGGTGAGACCAAACAGGTGACGTGATGATCAAGAATGGATGGATTGGATAAGAATAATCGTGCTCTGACTGGCTATGAAGATCCCACCCCATGTGCCGTCGGCAGGAGGAAATGAAATTCTAGAAGGAGGTGTCAAGGGACTCACAGACAGTGGCAGGAGAGATCAAACAAAATTTTGTTTCCTGAACAGACAATACAAGGGGAGGAAGTGGCAATCACGCTTCAGATGGTGATATGTTTGGCCCAGCAGTTGAGGATTACATTCCCATGGGAGGAGGCTGGAGGCACATAAATCACACCGCGACTAGCTGGGCAGAGCCCTTTATGCGACAACCTAGTCGGCTCGGCCTTTTTTAGGTTGCTAGGTATTTTATACCCCATAAAACTCAGCGAAGGCCTGCACCACATTGCTCACCAAAGGTTGCTCCTTTTTTTTGTGTATTTGTCCATGATTGTCTGGGAGATCGTCTATCGTTGGAGCACGCGTTTGGCCTTGGTTTCTGACCCAAAACCCTAGTCAGCCTTGGCAACTCTACTGCTATGGCATGACGTGAAATCAAGTGGGATAATATGTCTGCGTTGTGGGGCTAGAGTAGAAAGAATCAACTCAACCACAGTTTGCACAGAAGCCTGGTAGGTCTGTATGGCAGGCTGGATGCAAGGGTCTTGTTCCACGAGAATGGACATAGGGCAGGGGGGACATTGCATGGGATTGTCCATGGACACAACACATGTTGTTGGGGGGTTCGCGGGATCTGTGGATGGTACATACCGATGCAGCGGTGCATCCAAGCATGGCTAGTCGGCTAGGTCCGGATTTGCCGCCTCAAGATCCATCGAGTGGGAGGGGGCCGTCTTAAGGGTGCGGCCTATGTCGAGCACGTCGAGGTCAACAGCTGGAGCATTGGTGGAGTGCAAGAGGGTTGGAGAATCTTCCTCAGGGGAAGATCGCGAATCACTGGAACCATGGTCCACTAGAAAATGCTCCGGAGGGTTAGTGGTGGACAATAGGGAGGCAGCGAGAGGAGCAGCCGTGGTAGTGGGGCCTTGTCTGGTAGTTGGAAGCATAGGAGTGGCATTAGTTTGGCTAGTAGCAGAAGAGGTGGTGCAACCCACACCAGTAGGCTGGCCACCTCCAAGGCTTTACATAGTCTCGGTCACGCTCAAGAGGAGGGTGGCGTTGTGGGGCTG